AGCTGAATTCCTATTCTCAAGTCCTTTTCAGAAAGGCCAAGGCCAAGGATAACTCAGGAAAAACTGAACCGTTAGAGTGAATGTTAACGAGCTCCTGAGACAGAGAAGTCCGGAAAGGTAGCAGAGCATGTTATAAACAACACGTCCTACAAATTAAAACCATGACTTGACAGAGAAGGAAACAGGAAAAGAATAGTTACTCAGTCTAGTGTAAAAAAATCAACCAGGAAAACAAACTCACAGATGATCCAGACGGCCAAAGTGGAAGCTGGGGTTTCTAAGTAACTAATGCACACACTAGATAACCTTCAAAGATTACATTTGGGGCCCGGCACGATGGCGCAGTGGTTAAGGTCCTCGCCTTGCACGCCCGGGATCCCACATGGGCGCCAGTTCTAATCCCGGCGGCCCTGCTTCCCTTCCAGCTCCCTGCTTGTGGCCCAGGAAAGCAGTTGAGGATGGTCCAAAGCTTTGGGACCCTGCACCCATGTGGGAGACCTGGAAGAAGCTCCTGGCTCCTGGCTTCAGAAATGGCTCAGCTCTGTTGCGGTCACTTGGGGATTGAATCAGCAGATAGGAGATATTTCTCTTGGTCATTCCTTTTCTCTTGAAATCTGCCTTTCCAATAAAAAATAAATAAATAAATCTTTAAAAAAAAAGAATCTGTTACCAACACTCTTTAAGCAATATTAGATGATGAAATTGTCTGGACGTCAGTGAAACCACAGCACCTGGAAATCCACCTCAATGAATGAAAAACATGGGAAATAATTTACCTGCAGAAAACCATAAAAAACCAGTTTCCTTGTGTTGTCATTTGCCAGGTGACCATATAAAACCATTTGCAATCATGTACTTAAGAAGTTCATGGCGAAGAGGGTCAAAAAGTAGTAAGAGTCTATTTCAGTGCCAAAAAATACTGGACATGAATGTATACAAGGAGTCTTCAAGATGTCAATAAAATAAAATGTGAATTAGGAAAAACTTGGCATGGATTCCAAAAATGTTTTACACCAAAGTAACATACATTTTAGCTTCACCTACATTAACTTTTAGAAGCATTTTTGCATGTAGTAATTTAATACATAATGGTGGGTGAAAATATGGATGGAAAAGGAATTCTGATTTTTTTTAAAAAATGATTTTTACATGAACCAGGAATTAAATAATATTAGCTAAATGTGTGCAGGTAGAAATGCTCATTCTAAACCTAACAGGAAGCACGTAAAAATACAAAGAGAGCCCAGCAATAAAAGATAGTACAGGACACAGAACACTAACAATGGACCTCTCATGAAAAGAAAAGAGGAATGGCCAAAGACAAAAAACCAAGAGAAAATGACACAGTTGGGCAATAACAAATGCAATTTCTTTGAATGTAACTGACTAAGACGTCCCTTAAGAATCAGTACTGCCCATGTTCAACTACTACCGCCTCCAAGAACTGCTTTAAGCATAAGGACAACGAATTACAAGAAGAGAATGTAGCAGGCTAATTTTCAGCATAGGAAAGTTGTGCAGGTATTTTAGACAAGGAAACTTTTATGGAGAGAAATATAAAAATATTTCAATTCATATTGATGAGAGATTAAATCATAGAGAAGACATAATAGCTGTAAATATATGAGCAGCAAATAACAAAGTTTCAAAAATACACAAAGCAAAACTGATGATACATAAAACCTTCAGCTTTGTCTTTACTGGAAACCGAATTTCTACTTAGAAATAGAAAAAATGTATTTGTGATACCATCCGTGAAATAAACAGTGTGTCTTATGAAAAATGCTATTGGATGGATTTAAATATACCATTTTTATTTTATTTTTGACTAAGGGTCATGCTGTATTTCATAGAAGAAGATAATATACTTTCTTAAGTGAACACAGAAAAATAATTAAGATGTCAACGTGGGGGTAGCCATTTGGCCTAGCAGTTAAGGCCCAAGGGTCCAAGAGGCATGCGTCCCTTGGGTGCAGCTTCCTGAAGATGGAGATGTTGGGAAGCAGCTGGTGATGGCTCTGGCACCAGGCTCCCTGCACCCACAGGAGACGGCTGCTGGCTTCCACAGAGCCCAGCCGCAGCTACTGCAGGAGTTTGGAGAATGAATAGCAGATGGGAGGCATATCAGAGTCAAAGTGGTTGTTTCTGATAGAAACAAATAAACAAAAAAAAATACTTAAGTAGAATACTGTTTCTGCTTAAATATTCATGATGCAGGGGGTCAAGGTCATGGTGTGTAACTGGCTTTGGGACGAACGGTACAGCAATAGAGAAAAAGAGATAGAAAACACCACAACAGGTTAGCAATCCTTGAAACTAAGTACTACGTCTGAATGGACATTTGGTTAACTCTACTTCTCAGCAAGTTTGAAAATTGTTTCAAAAATAGTTTAAAAATAATTAAGGAACAATTTCCACAAAAGTTTTGCACAGTCAATGAAAGGTAAATATTACGTTACCAGGTATGCATGATAAATTTCAATACAGTTCAGTGATCAAAAAACTGAGTATATTTGAGAATTCAGTAATTAGCAATAAATGGATCAAGAGTTTCAAAGAATCAGGCAAGTTCACAGCTGGAAACATGGCTCCCTAAAGAACATGTTTATAATACACGATTTTAATATCCTTCACAGAAAATACAGGTTCAAACTGATTCTTAAAAAGTAATCAGGTCAAGGCAAAATAAGCCAAGTTATTAGCAAGCAATTACAACAAGTAAAAGCAAATAAACATGCAAAAATCTTCAACGCAGCGAGCAGTTAGATGGCACATTCGATGAAAAATGACCTCTCAATCTGCCTTACAGTCTTTTCATAAATTAAAAAAACGTGTATAAATTTACGGCAATCTATGCTGTATATATTTTTAAAGGGTCAATGGGCAAGACTATGTAAAAGCAAGAGCTTATTGCAACATCATTTTTTCATGTGAAATTCTGGAAGCATGAGCCATAAATATAGGAAAGGGCAATTAAGCAAACCTTTTTTACATAGTCCTCCATTTAATATTATATCACGCAATTCTTAACACATTTGGAATAAACATACGTGGCCTACAGAACAAACGGAGAGGAAGAGAAGCGAATGTGCTGATACACTGTATATGCTGTGCACACACACACCTATGCAAGAACACAGGTAACAAAATGTGTGGAATATTTTACACAATAAGTGGTAGGTGCAACCATGCAGAAGAGGAGAACATTATTTACTTCTTGAATAATCTTCTGCACTCATTTAATCGTCAAAATATGTCATCTTTAATCAGTGTCAAAGTCAATCATACAAACATATAGAATATATATATATACGCATTAACCATTAAAATGATTTGGTAATAAAATCTGAAATTATTTTGATACTATAGTTATGATGCTTAAAACAGTAAAGAAAATTGGTACCAGTTATGGATTCTTAGTTACCAGCTAGGTGGTCGGAGGAAACCACAGGGACCTCATGCAGCTTGTTACCACCACAGATGATGTGGGCTCCCACCGACCAGGTAGGTGCCTGGAGTCACAGCTGCACTGCACAATGCCCTTCCCATGGGGAATGAGGGCTTCTGGGGACGCCCCAGAGGAAGCCAGGCTTCCGTGAACTCTTAGCTGTGTGTTCACATGATCACATGTGACAAATATGACACCTGTATACAACATTTTCTAGGATTCTAACCATTTTGTAAGGTCCGTGCCACAAAACTGACCAGCCTCTGTTGCAGGTGACAGACACTTGACCAAAGGCACCAGCATCATCGTACATGAAGACATTCAGTCTCTTAACAGAGGTTATCTGTATTCATGAGGGTTTATGTATTTGAAAGGGAGAGAGACAAGATGGAGAATTACAAAGACAGGCAGACTGGCATCAATGGAGACATGCCATTCAGTGGTTCAATCCTCAAATGCACAAAAGTCTGGCCAGTGCCAGGCAAATTCCTGTTGATAGAAACTCCATCCACACCTCCCAGGCAGGTGGCAGGAACCCAACCACTCAAGCCATTACCTACCATCTCCAAGTGCCTATCACGAAGTCGGCATCTACGGCAGAGCCAGGACTTGAACCCAGGCCTTTCTGGGTAGGAGAGGCAGGCGTTCCACATGTTAGCTTCATGGCTGTACCACATGTACACCCTGATATTTATGTCTATACTCATTTGTAAAAATAATAGTTTGTTTGGGGGTATCTATTAAGCTCTCCTTGTCAGAATGAAAAGGCAAGCAATATCCCTAACCTGCTCAGAAACACCTGCTGAGACCAGGACAGAGGAGCGGTGCGGAGTGTCAACAGAGAATGGACCGTCTCAGCGAGGCTGAATGTGTGGATCAGCGCTCCCACATCTGCAGTACAGATGGTGTCACCTGGCAAGGAGGTGGTGTGAGATGCAGGCAGAGCAACAGCACCGGAAGCTGCTCCCTCCCACGCACTGCAAGGAGGGAGCGCAGGTTAGCCCTGAGAGGACCGATCTACAAGGAACAGAGCCAACCACGAGTGGTTGCAGACGCATCATCCAGATAGCCCTGCTGCCTCGCTGCAGGCTTTCCATGTGAGGGACTCCGAACATCCAATGAGTCCCGTTTGCTCTGCTCTGATCCCTGGGTCACGAAGCAAACGTTTCACTGTCACTGCCTTTCCAAAGCCCTGAGCACAAATGCCAGTGCTCCGATCCTTGTGACTGCAATTCCAATTTTACACGTCAGCATTTGAGTTCTGAAAAGTCGATCCATTCCCACTTGCTTCTGCACCAAGCGACCAAGCCCTGCCTCCCGAGGTCACCATCTGCCAGGCTTGCTTTTAAAAGTGCCTACTCCTGTGTGACGAATTTATTCCCTCAAAACACTGTCATGCCAAAAATCAGATAAACAAACAAACAAAGACACGTAAAACCTCAGTCAACAAATATGTAAAGATCACATTTCTTTTCCCAAACATAAATTTATGCCAAGTATCAATTTAGTACAGACAGTTCCTGGACTTGTAAACTTTAAAAGTGACTTTTACCTATGAGACTGGTTGTTAAGGTTTAGCGATCCAGTCTGGCACATCTCTTCCAACTGCTTCCTGTTGCCGAAGTACAGGGCGAGGTCTGTGGCAATGATGGCTTTGCGGATTATCTCAAGCACCTGTTCGTACTCACTGGAGCTCAGCGTGGAGAAGATGTTGTGTCCCTCCAACTGGGGAAAAACGAAAATAAAAACCACCAATAACAAGCACGAGCTGTGGTGCCAGGACAATGCTGTCAGCCAATGCTGCCGGACACGAGTGACACGCCTTGGGGCAATGAACAGGTAGGCTGGGGTGACTGTGATGAAAACAGCCACTCTGGTTTCCCCTTAACAACAAAACTCTCCTTTGAATCAGCCACACGACCTGAGTCACAACATCTGCTACTACGCAATTTCAGTGCCTCAACTATACCTAGCTTCTAGATGTGTTTTGGTAGCTAGAGGACTGGATGATAAACACCTCAAGACCGTTTCTTCTTCAGCTAAGCATTCAGTAACGCTCATCTTTTATTGGGACACAGAGGCCTTAAAAAGCATTTCTGTCTACTCCAGTTCGTATAAAACAAAATATTTTCTGTGTCCTGAAAAAAAAGAACCCATGAGCTGTATAAGCTGCTTAGTAACACCCAGGAGAAACCCTTCTTCGAGGCAGGGCCCCATTTACAGAAAACACAAACCAGCCAAGGTAGTCTGCTTCTCTCTCCGGAAGGAAGCTGGGAGTGCAGGTCTTCACCATGAACAGGAGCAAAACTCTGGCCATCTAATTATTCCTCTCCCACAGAATGTTCTACAAAGCTTTCACAGTAATCTCTCTCAAATAATTTTAAGGGATTTTCCCCTAGTTGAGATTTAAAAAAAAAATTTATCCAAATATCAGGTTGAGATGATTAAGATAATTACTTTTCAATAATTTCATTATCAGTAAATAGACTCTTGCCGCCAACTGATTTTACTTTCCTCGGTCGATGTGTGTTGATTGAGAAGACACGAAAAGACTTCAAATTTCACCTACCAAAGTGGAATTTTTTCACAAAATCAGGTTTCTCACTAAGACACTGCTTCACACTCTGAAATACAGTTGTACACATACCAGTGGCTTTCCCTTCTTTAAAAACAAATATTTGTTGGGCCCGGCACAATAGTGTAATGGTTAAATTCCTCGCTTTGACCATGCGAGGATCCCATATGGGCACTGGTTCTAATCCCTGAAGCTCCACTTCCCACCCAGCTCCCTGCTTGTGGCCTGGGAAAGCAGTTGAGGACAGCCCAAAGACTTGTGACCCTGCACCCATGTGGGATACCCGGAACAAAGTTCCTGGCTCCTGGCTTTGGATCGGCGCAGCACTGGCCGTTGTGGTCACTTGCGGAGTGAATCATTGGATGGAAGATCTTCCTCTCTGTCTCTCCTCCTTTCTGTAGATCTGCCTTTCCAAAAAAATTCAACAAATCTTTAAAAATAAATAAATATTTATTCAAAAAGCAGCTTAAAAGCAGAGACTGAGAGAGAAAGATCTACCACCCACTGGTTCACTCCCTAATTTACTGCAATGGCCAGAGTAGAGCCTATCCAAAGCCAGGAGCCCCTTCTGGGTCTTCCATGTGGGTGCTGGGTTCCATGGCTTTGGGCCATCCTCTACTGCTTTCCCAGGCCACAAGCAGGGAGCTTGATGGGAAATGATGCAGCCAAGACACAAATTGGTACCTCTACGGGATGCCAGAACTTGTTGGTGGAGCATCAGCCAGGTGAGCCATCACACTAGCCCCACCACTGGCTTTTCAATCATCAGATTCTTTCTATATCATTTATTCTTAAGGCTTTAAAAATGCTTAAATTACTCAATGATAAATACAACATATGGACTCGGTTTGAGCTACTTATTTTCCTGACAATATGGCTTTGCACCACAGTAATTTCAAGCACATGGTTTTACATTCAAATTGTAAAATTAGTAAGAACTTCTGGATCCATTCAAGTTGGACATAAATATCCATCTAAAATGAAGTATTTGCTGAAAAGCTAGCAAAATTTTGATTCAAAAGAAACTCTATAGTTGCTGTATACACTGGCTATTTTTGTTTCTAGACTTTTCACACTGTAATCTCATTTTAAGTCACAAATGAGGTCAGGGAGGTGGATGTGATCAGGACGAGAACCACTGGAGTGGCTCTCGAGACACGTGTAAAACACACGTGCGTTGCGACACGGAGCCTGGCTGGCCAACCACAGGTGGAGGTGAGGAAGGTGGCTGAATTTCTCACTTTCTAAGTCTGTCCCAATGTCACTGCTCTTCAATTTGTAGACGCTTACTAGAAGAAAGCCCTTTCCCTGCCTTAGGCTGTAAGCTCAGCTTGTCCTGGACACGCTCAGCAGTGAAAGGCGACCGTTAGCCTCTGCCACAACACAGGACGCTTCATGACCTGCTTTCCACTTCATGAACACTGTTCAGACACGCGCACGTCTGCTGTCAGCAGGCCCTGGGAGCATGAGCAGCCTTTGGTGTCTGTAAGTTAGGTGATGGGGACAGGGTGAATCACCACTGTAACCACAGGAACCGGAGCCACAGGTCAGAACCAACACAGGAAGACAAACGGCCCTTGTCTAGAAACGATTAAAAATACTAGTAAATATAAATAATTTCCCCTAAAGCCTTCGCCATTTAGCTCTGTATAAGAGATTCTCACAGAAAGGCTTTGTAGCTCAGAGTTTCAAACCCATGTGCCCCCGATGCTTTCCAACTGGGTGACAAACCATTGTGCTAGGGAGCCACAGGAATGGTGTGGATAGTTCAGGAGCTTAGGGATGAAGAAAGTCACAATGCCTTTAAAAGACACATACCACTCAGTTTCACAGTTAATTACCCAGTGCATTAAAACACACTTGAAGGAAACAATTCAGAATTTTACCTAAGGTTTAGGGGACAGCCTTCATTCTGAATCTTATTCTGCCACTTACTATGCGAGGCATGGACAAGTCACTCAATGTCTGTGTTGCATCTTACCCTTATTGTAGAAAGGGAATGAACAATAACAACCTCATCAGGATACTACTAAAGGTGAAGAGTGCAAAACAGCAAGAACTCAATACCTCGTAAAACACTGCTCACAACAAAATCTACAGGCCGGACTTATCCAGACAGAATTATGGGAGAGCATACAGGACAGCCAGACCAGTTAACCAACCAGTATGTCCAAGCCATGAACTTTCCTCTAGCCCTTGACCCTTCCCACCCTAATCAACTATGTAAAATCATCAAACATTAAATAAAAAAGAAAAGATAGTGTTGTATACAAATGCATCTGCAAATTACACTTAAAATGAACTGGAAGAACTTATAATAAAAATACACTGCTATAAAAAGTAATGAAAAAGACATGGGATGCCACGATATTTGTTACCAAAATAAATTTCTGAAACCACTTTTTAGAAAACAACCAGATAACTGGCTAAGAATGAGAATAACCAGTCCCAAGGAGTCCTTCATTGTGCCACCATGGGGAGCATGTTAAGGCACACAGGTGGAGGGGAACCTGCGACACACAATGTTGGAGAAGGAGCAGACAAAATGTGGTGCAGTGTGTCACGTGGGGAAGGTGCTGGACAGACCTCAGCCAGGAGCAGTGGACAAGGGGCCACTCCGGCACTTCCCACAGCCTCCAGTGGGAGCCTTCTCAGTGCCCACCATGACCCACATACAGCCCTAGGCCCCTACCACTGGGGAAGTATCCCCTGTGTCCTAGCAGGAAAAGATAACAGGAAATTCAGCCAAAGAAGACTCAAGATTCACTCTCTAGCTATTCTTGTCCTTATTTCATTCATGACTTAGCCTCCCACCATGGCCCACTCAGTAAGGGTTTCCCACTACTTCCATCCCACGATGACCAAAGTCAAGGCAAACTAGGATCTCATATATATTTCCTGGAGCTGGTGTCATGGTGCAGTAAGCTAAGCCTCAGCCTGTGGTAACCATGTCCCACTGGCTTCTTCACGTCTGACCCAGCTGCCCACTTAGGGCCTGGAAAGCCATAGAGGATGGCCCCAGTCCTTGGGTCCCTATTCCCACATCCCCATCTGGATGAAGATCCTGGCTCCTGGCTTTGAATCCACTCAACTGCCCGCCATTACAGCCAATTCAGGAGTGAACCAGTAGATGGAACATCTCTCTTTCTCTGCTTTTTCTATGTGATTCTGCCTTTAGAATAAAACTAAATTAAAAAAAAAAGGCCAACACACACTTTGTGAGTTGCTCGCTCTTGTGTGTCTGTGTGCTAAGGTAGAAGTTAAATTCAGAAATATTTTTATTAGGCACTGCTTTTTGCATTCTGCTCACTGCTGTCTCTGCTTACTCGACAGTACTTTCCTGATCCCCACATCTCCCAGGAGTTCTCAGAGGCAGCCTCTGATCCATATGCATTATATATGCATATAAAATACATATGTATATTACACTAAATATATTATACATATATTATAAATTTGTTTTGAACCTCATGTACATTCATCTGAATCTATAGAAGCCTTGCTATTCCTGTGTTATGTTCAGTAATTTATAGTCTCTCAACAAGAGAACAAAGTTGTCCCTGTTATGCCTTCAACAGGGACAGAAATGGCATGTGTCCTATCTGGATTCTGACTATCCTCTGAAAATGGCCAGCGGTGTGCTTATCTGAGCTTACTGCACCAGGTTCCTGTGGCAATGGCCTCCATGCATCAGCTGGAGCCCACAGCACTGCCTGCCTCTACGGATACAAAGCCCCCTGAACTTCCACTTTGGACAGCAGCCATGGGCGCCAGTCCTCCTGGAGCTGAGGGGAGATACACACCTCCCCCTCCCGCTGTGCTGCCATCACTGCCATGTTACACGGCTTATTTTAACATATTCATGGCTAACAGAGTTTGCAATTTCAAAACTTACTCTGTTATATTTTAAATAGGCTTTTATGAATGCTACTAAAATTAATTTGTAATTTAAATGGCCATAAAATGTCATTGTCAAATGCAGGAATTCAGCTCAGACATGGAATGCTAATTCACTGAGTTCAAATTATCCCTAAATGAAGACATCCTGGTGTCCCTGCTGGCGTTTCTCCTTCTGATAGAAAGCAAATAGTCTTGGATGATGAGTGAGTTCCAAGTAGACATAAACTGTTATAAGCTCCATAGTGTTCCTCTAGTTAAACAAATCACATTGTACAATGACATATGTATCTTAATTGAATATGCATGGATACTTATATGTATCTGCATATGTGTATAAATACCCACATCTATCTATCTATCTATCCATCTAAGAATACATGATTTAGAAGGGAAAGGACTGGAGGTGAGTGGACACCAGCAATGACGGTCACACACTGCTATAAGACAGGACTTGCCACAAAGGGCAACATGAGTGGCTTCCTGGACACGGCTTTCCAATGAGTGCATCTGCTCCCTGTGGACAGCGCTTCTCCCTTCCACCCAGAGGTGCACTTGACTAAGTTATGGTCTGCGCTCTCAGGGCCGACAGAATGTGGCCACGGAGCAGGCAGGACTGCCAACCGCCTGGGTGGGCAGGCACAAGAGGGAGGCACCAGGACAAGTCTGGAAAGCTGAGTGGAGGCCAGTAAAACATGTCCCAGGTGAGAGAGGGAGGCTTGACTACCAGAGGCACAGTGGTTCCGCTGTGCAACCCTGGAAACTCGAGACTTCCCCGGGGTCCGTCCAGGGACCTCGTGAGGGTCTACTTAGAGGGGCTGATGCTGAGAGGAAGCGGTGGGTCCAATATCGAGGCCAACAGAAATTTATTTTTAAGATTGTGTGTTTTAGGAATCCAGTCATTAAAACTTAATAGCTGCTTTATCAGAGATAATTTGATGAGAAAAGTGAAGAAAACAGCAGTACATTCTTACACTGAAATGAGACCTGCCACATCTAGGTCCATTTAAATGGGTATCTAAAACCAATAAGTGGAAAAAAAAGACCAAGGAAAAATTTACCTGACCTTTCAGATTGACTGTTCCATATATTCTACTGCAAAAATACAGTACCCTATCTGCTTTTTATCAAATATCGATGTTATTATTCTTGACAGTATCTGGACTAGCTGATATAACACCTACAAGACAAACATGCATATTTGCATATGCAAAAATCTCTAAAAACTCATGTTTAATACAATATTTTCTCTGACAATCCAGTTGTGACTCTGAACAAAAGGTTCTGGAATGCCCTCACAAACCAGCACCTTCTCCTGGCAAGTCTCCTGGCTGGGCAGGGATGCAGGTGGACGGGAGAGGGGAGCGTCTCACCTGCAGGATGGACACCGTCTGTGAGAAGTGGTGCTGCTCCATGGTGGAGGTGGAGTAGAGAGCGGCCAGTGGGTGGTCGAACTTCTGCAGATAGCTGTTACTGAAGCCCCTGTGGTCCAGGTCGTGACACAGACACGCGATCAGCAGGCCTTTGCGCTTCAAGGAATCAGAGAACATGGAGATATTCAAAACACAGACACACAGCTCACAGGCAGCTCAGCATTTAGCCATTTAAGAAGGCCAACACACTTAGAAATCTGCCAACTTCCAGATAATGCATCTTCTTTTTAACCAGGCTCAGCTCTCATCCAAAGATCCACTCAAAGGAAATTCTGACGATGCAACTGCTACTACAAAGAAGGAACTTCATCTCAGAGGTGAGCAAAGACGGAAAGGGAAGGAGGAGAGGAACTCCATCTCAGAGGTGAGCAGAGGTGGGACAGGGAGGAAGGAGCGTGCGGCAGGCTCGAGGGAGAAGAGCACCAGTGCACGGGAGCAGCAGGCACTTCAGGGTGAGCTTGGCCTGGAAGCAGAGACACAGGGAGACAACGGGGCAGGAGGCTAGGGATCCATGGCCTCGGATTCTGAGTGGTCAAGCGAACTCTATTTCTGGTGGAAAGGCAGGTTCGTGAAGTGGGTGGGGAGAGAGAGAGAGAGCTTCCATCCACTGGTTCACTCCCCAATTTATTCAATGGCCACAGCTGAGCCAATCTGAAGCCACGAACCAAGAGCTTCTTCCAGATCTCCCATTTGGGCCATCCTCAACTGATTTTCCAGGTCACAGGCAGGGAGCTGGATGGGATGTGGAGCAGCCAGGTTATGAACCAGCACCCATACAGGATCTTGGTACATGCAAGGCAAGGACTTTAACCACTAGGCCATTGCTATGCTCTGGCACAAGAAAGTTACAGGTGGGGCAGGTTAGCAAAGAATAGACAGGAAGGAGTTCATGGCTGAACTTCACAGACATGAAAAGGACATGGCTGGTTCACAGAAAATGGAGATTTGCCAGCTTTTGACAGGTAGTGTAAAAGCTCCAGCATTGGCTGGCCTCAGCAAGATTGTAGTCGGAGGTCAACAAAGGGCGAGGTCTGGGCCTCAAGTACTGTAACGCCAAGAATCCTGAGTGAAGAAGGGAAATACCACAATGGGACAGAACTTCCAGGGAGCATGCTCAGTGCAATGGGAGGGCAGACATGAGTCTACAGGTCTGCCCTGGAGAGCAGTCAGTGACTTTGCACTTGGGAGTGGCACCAGCACAGCCAGCCAAGGGCACATGCTGACAGGAGGGCATGCTGCTGTGGAGCAGGAGTGTGGAGGGCAGCAGGGGTTAGCGCCAGAGAACGCCTCACCATGCACTATTTTAAGAAACACTGATTTTTTGGGCCCGGCGCGGTGGCGCAAGTGGTTAAGTCCTCGCCTTGCACGCCCGGGATCCCATATGGGCGCCGGTTCTAATCCCGGCGGCCCCGCTTCCCTTCCAGCTCCCTGCCTGTGGCCTGGGAAGGCAGTTGAGGACGGCCCAAAGCTTTGGGACCCTGCACCCGCGTGGGAGACCCGGAAGAGGCTCCTGGCTTCGGATCGGCATAGTATCGACCCGTTGCGGCTCACTTGGGGAGTGAATCATCGGATGGAAGATCTTCCTCTCTGTATCTCCTCTCTCTGTATATCCGCCTTTCCAATAAAAAAATAATAAAAATAAATCTAAAAAAAAAAAAGAAACACTGATTTTAAAAGGCAGCATGATGGGGACAGAGAGAGAGAGAGAGAGAGAGAACGAGCGATTTTTCCACTCTGGTTCACTTTCCAAGTGTCCCCAGAGAGCAAAAGTGGGGAGATGGGGCCAGACCAAAGCCAGGCGTGGGAAATCCTATCTCAGTTTCTCTTGTGGCGACAAGGACCCAAGCCCTCCAGTGACCATCATTCGCAGCTCTCCGATGTGTATCTGGGAGTGATCCAAAAAATGGAAGATCTCTCCATATCACTCTGCCTTTCAAAAAACCAAAACTAACAACAGAAACAATGCTGTACAGTAGCTTAATGCTAATATCTTCATTTTTCCCATTTAAGCTTAATTGTTATTGAAATTACTTTCAATGATTTTAATAAACTGTGCCAGATTTATGCACATGTGAAGAATTTACAATCAACTACTTTTGTTAAAATTTTTCCTGAAATTTGAATGGCTCAATTAGAAACTAAGTAAACTCTTTAGAAACTGTATTTTTAAAAATTTGCATATGTTATTTTGCGATTGTTTTCATAGAAAAAAGTCTTGACGCTTTGGGACATGCAATGACATACTTCCCAGATAACAGGAATGTACCTAAGAGTTTTAGTCTACACTAACAAAATTTTGTTACATATTTTCATATACTTCAGTGCTATTTGAAAAGATAATTTCAATAGTTTTTAAATTCACAGGCTATTACTTGGCAAAGAGAAAAGATCAGATCACTTTCTCAATAGAGATGAACAGAAAATACTGAAACAGTCAAATATATGGGGGTCAGTGAGATAAAAAAAATTGCTCTTTTTAAACAAAATTATTTGAAAAAAGAACAGATCTCGCCTGAATCTTTCTGGGGTACGTGGTATATGGTAGATTACTAACTAGGTTAAATACTGCTTCAACTAACCAGTATCTTTAAGAAACAAAAATACTGGCAGGAAAACCGGCTACTCCAGACTCATCGGGGATTAAAGCGGCACCTTACACTTTGGTTCTGAAACACCTGTTCCAGGTTCCCTGCTTAGGACTTGAACTTGGTCTGATGATGGAGAACCATATGATGGACCTCGGGAACAGTGGCTTCCACGGGAATGTGACCTTGAGTCAGCCACAACAGGCTCTTCCTGAGATAGGGAATCGAGGCATGTGTGAGCTCTGGGGCACCAGCGTGGACAGAGGGAGTCCTTCCAGGCCAGGAGGTGCAGCAAGGAGGAAGCGGCACCCTGGCCGAGGTGCTCCCCGCCACTCAGCACTTGGCTGGAGTTTGGGGTCAAGAATTTCAAACTGTGGGAGGTGAATGGCCAAGACAGTCCCCGCATCTGCCAAGTCATGTTTCTTAGAACTTTGGTTATGTCACCAACTCTGGGTATGCAAAGTGAAGCAAGACAGTGAGACATCTCAGAGCCCTCCCGCTGTCTTCTGCAGGAGGAGACAAAGGAGCTTCTGCGTAATGGCTCTACTGAATGCTCTGGACTCTCCAATCAGCAGGATGATCCATGGCTAAGGGGTGTCAAAATACACTGTATTTACACCTCGGCAGGGTACTTAAAACCAAACACTTTGGTGCGGTTTATGTTTCTTTATCTGCATTTGAAACACTAAAGAACATGTCAGTGCCGGGGTAGAGTAACGTAAACAGTGTATTTCTATCCATTTACAGACTGTATCCACCCTGAGCCAACAGCCCGCACCTCCGTCACCAGTGAGCACGCCCACCTCCAGGTCAGTGAAGAGCCCGTAGGTGTTCTGCAGTATGGCGTACATGCAGTGAGCCACCGTCACCGCGTGCTTCCAGTTGTGGTAGGGAACCCGCCGGTAGTTCTTCTTCACAGACATGATGAAGCGGCACAACTTCTCGAGCTCAAAGCTGTGCGGAATAGAATGCACCATGAATGAAGGCAGCAGAGAGCCACCGTGTCTCAGGATTGCCCTGCAGAGGCGCAAGCCTGCCTGTCGGAGACACCACATGGGCCCCGTCCCTGAGCACGGGGTCTCACTCTCAGCTTCCTCCTGGGCCTTGCATGGCATCTGCTCTGTTATTGTCTCTGCTGCACCAGGCAGGAAGCCTGAGACGCAGCACGCGGTGGCCCAGTGCTAATCCTGGGGGTTAGGTACGTGATTTCCCTCTAAGGGGAGTCCAAATGGAAAGTTTTCAAACACCTATCTAGTAACGACAGTGAGGAGCCAACTGGTCAAATTCTCCATGGGTATTTAAGAAACAACGGAAGTTAGCTATCCACTGTATGCCCTCTTCTAAAATGTCAATGTCACGGCTAGAGAAAATACACAGAGAAAACATAGAATCCACGCGACAATTTGTTCTTAGAGAAGCTAAGAGCTCCTAAAAGGTATTTCATGCCTACATGAGTAAAACAGAGCTCAGAGAAACCGTTCCCTGAATTTCTAGGTTTGCGCATTTAAGTAGGGAATCATGAAAGGCCTGAAGCATCCGCAGTAAGAGAGGGCAGGGCTTACTGAGGAAGCAACGCACCTTGTACTGGGAGCTCCTCCCCCTCCAACAGGTGCTCACTGGTGTGTAAACTCACAGGGTGAGTTCTAAGCCAGGCATTTCTCTCTGGGAGCATCCCTGTCATTGTCAGTTTCACAGCAGAAAGCAGCTGGAATATCTATTTTCACTATAGCCTCTCAGACATGTGGCTGTTAACTAGGCTTCGAGCAAACCCTGGGGCAACCCAGGAGTCTCCACAGGCACTCTGTATGGGTGGAAGCACAGTCCAGCCATTTCCAAGTGAAATCATTACAAAACAAATCAAGAGGTGCTCCTACTTAAAGCTAACGAGAAGCAGAGACACGGTGACGCAAGGATGGAGAGGAGCAAGTTGTGCAGCCCAACGGGTGAGAACAAGCTCTGGTCATTCCTACCAGGAAGTCCCACAGGACCGATGGACCATGTAGACAAATATCCCAGGCCACATGTTTTCAAAAGGACCGATGTCAAAGTGGAACCTGAAAACAAGCAAAGGCAGGGCAGAGTTCAGACACACAGACAGATCAGACTGTTGTCCATCAGGAAGCTTGGAGACAGAGGGAGCTCAGCCAGCATCCTTGGGCCATCCTGTCGGTCTCATCTCTCATACTAAGAGAATTCCAGCAGGAAATCCCCTCTATGCCCTTCAACGTGTGGCCCACTATTTAAGTCACTGGCTAGTTTTCTGTTAAATAACATGTAAAGTTAGGGTTTTGCATTAGAATGTACAAAAATATATGGCTATTACACATATACTGCACAACCCATTCATAAAGCAGAAAAAGGCATCGTCAGAAATATTAGTTCCCAATGAAATTGTTCTATCTCCTATTTTTAAGCCAAGATAAAAATTTCATAAATGTCAACATCTAAAGTTACCATCTATTTTTCACATGTTAATTTAGTTACCAATATTCAACTATGAAAACCAGTACAGTACATAAGACAGTACTTCTATAAACTTGCTTAGAAAGGGAATAATGGTATATCTACTTCACTAGAGTGAGATTGTAAAATCTATGTATGCAGAGTCACCAAAAACTCCATTTTCCATAACACCTAACAGATCCCTACATGCATTTATCCCTATCATTTTGAGCACAAATAAACTTAATTTCTACACATTTTGGAAGTACTCTCATACTTTCTAGAATTATGAGGCATATGTCAACTCTGCACCACTTCTGACAACTCCCAATGTGGTTAGAAGTATTGGTGTGTGCTAAGAATGGACTCATAACGTGTCTCAGGTCCAGACACCAGTGACTTAAAGACAACAGCATAAGGCTGGGAAACAAAGCATGAAGGCTAAATTAACATCTAAACTCTTCAGTTTAGCTAGAAAGTAAATTTCCACAGCAGTGAGAATTTTATCACATGTGTGGTTGTTAAAATATCCAATGCCATTTTGAAATTTTTAATTTTTAATACTTTGCAGCGTAAAACACGCAGCAGGGTGCTGATACAAGTGTGCACTGAGGTCAACTCAATGCATGGCTGAATGCAGACTGCTCCTGCAGGTAACCATCAGAAGACAACAGCAGCACAGGGAAGCCTACGTAGCATATAGGCATGCTCCTTGTCCCCTCTAGCCTGCCTCACTGCACAGTCCAGCAGCGCAAACACCTGCTCCAAAGAGGCTGGGAAAGCACGACACTCACAGTTCAATCTCCTTGCAGAGGCGAGCGGGCAGGGTAAAGCGCATGAGGCCTTGCCACTCCTCCGCCGTGCAGATGCTGTGGTAAGACAGCTTCTCCATGGTCACCCGGTAGATGCACTCCGAGTGACGGATCCTGTGGTACATCTGGGAAGCAGACAGGAGAATGAGAACAGGAAAGCTAGCAGAAGGAACGCTTGACGGGTGTCGTGTGGCTATTACGGTTCAGAACTGCCGCAGTGGAAACAAAGGTTTGTATATATGAGTACATGGAGGACGCATACAATCTGAACTTGAAATGCAACTAGCTTCTTCAAGAATAATTCACCATTTCCTTTGCCATTACAGTTGAGTCTTGGTTTAATTGATTATTTTTTTTTCCTATTCTTTAAGTACTAGCTTTGGGGTTTTGCTGATGACACAGTAACATGCTCAGACTTATCACACAAATTTGCGTATTTTAGTCATCAATCGTGTACACAGAGTGGGGCTGTTAATGGGTTTTTCATGGAAAATGGACAGGTTTTCATCAGCCATTCATTTCCGCATCCTATTCAACTCAGATTTGTGTGCAACTGTGCTCCAGCCGGTAACTAGATCAATATGAGATAAAGAAGTGCTGGGACTGGAGGAGCTGATGCGTGTGTGCACTTGTGAATTAGCAAACACGATACAATCGAACGGAAGGCTGTAACCTTCAGGGGAGCAGCAGGGACCTCTAGAGCGAAATAAAGCTGAAAACACCTGTTACGAGGCAGGTGAGAAACGGTCTTAACATCAACAGGACTAAATGTGCCAAAATTAAGGCAGTAGATGGCATCTTTTAAAAATCTTTACCCTAATTCATGATGACCCTGAAGTCTTCCAACATGTGCATCTCTAAGACGTTAGACAGTGAAACTGTTCACCAGCACAATGTGTTGGGAGACCCAATCCCTGTGAAGTCATAATCCTGAGACAGAGACTAAATACAAAGGAAACAGTTTTCAAGACAGTGATTTGAGGTTTAGTTCAGCTTAGTTTACATTGGCACCCTAGATTTCCAATTAGAGATTTTCAATTGATTGAAAAAGAAATGCCCCAAATTTTGAGATACAAATGGCTGTTATCAAACATGATGCTGATATTTGCATTTCCCAACCAATAATTTTTCTGGCTGAAATTGAAATAAAATGCTTATTTTGCTAGATATCAATCAGTGATCCACCAACTAATCAGTTATACTTTTATGTAGTATCAAGATATGTCTAAAAGTCAGCAAAACTCAATAAAATCCTTCATGAGAAGATTTTTATTAGTTCAAAAGTGTTTCATAAAACATGACGGATAAAGACATGCAGAGTTACAGGTAAAGAGAAAGGAACTAGGAAAGAAGAATTAGTAGGGCACATGGAGAACAGAGAAACACAACGGATATCCTCCTAAATCTGAGATGTGAATGGTCTAAACTGCAAAATTTAAAGTAGATTACCAGGTTGAATTAAAAAGCACACCTATAGCAGGAATGAATTACGTTCATAGCTGGAGACAGAGAGATGTATATCTCCACACACGTGGTACAAGGATAGACTCGCAGCAAAATGGCTGACAATGTCCTGATGGTTGGACGTTGGACTCCCCAACAATGTCCATGCCTACACTGTTGGAAGACACCTCAGTGGCAGCAGAATGGACTTATGAAAGTTCATGAATGACACCCATTGTAAAACTGGAGGAGAGATCAGTGGGGAGTGGAGGGAACTTAGGGATGAGAGGGAAGACCCCAGCACCTATTAAACTGTGTCATAAAAAAATGATAATAATAATAAAGCACAACCTGCTATACGATACTTTCAATAATCCAAGTTAGGGATTGGCATTGTGGCACAGCTGGATAAGTTGCCATTTGTGATGCCCACATCCACATAACGGTGCCAGTTCAAGTCCTGGCTGCTCTGCTTCCGAGTTATATTCAAGCTGGGGCATCTTGGGAGGCAGTAAATACAGGCTTGAGTGCTTTGGGTCCTGTTACGCAGAAGGGAGACCCTATAGAGCTATGGATTTGTGGCTTCAGCCTGGCCAAGCCCTGGTTTTCAAGGATATCAAGCAATGAACCAGAGAGAGTGTAAGAGGTGGGTGATGCATCTCTCCCTCTGTCTCAACTGGATTATTTGAAAAGCAGGCTTACACAGAAAGAAAGGGAGACACTCACCCACACCAAGGGAGGGAGGGAGGGAGAGAGAAAGGAAGTAGAGAGAGAGAATCTTCTGTTGTTCACTGCCCATAGGGCCATGGCGGCTGGGACTGAAGTCTGGGACTCCCCACAGGGCTTCTACACAGAGGGCCTAAGGAGTGAGCCATCCTGCACTGCTGTTGCAGGTGCACTGGCAGAGAGCTGGATGGCAAGTAGAGCATCGGGACTTGAGTCCATGCTCATCAGGGCTCCTATATGATGGTAGCATCGGAAGTTAACCTGCACCACCACGTCAGCCCCATAAATAAAATGTTATAAAACTCAAAGTAATCATATTTGAAATAAAGAAACAGAATAAAACAATATGAATTAAATATGATTTAATGCCAGTCAAGAGAGAGTTAAAATCACTGTACACCTTTCTGTGGGAAATGACAAATGAATCCTAAAATTTACACAGAAATACAAAAGGCTTAGAATGGTTGAAAAACAAACAAACAAACAAAAACCCTTTAAATGTGAGGAATAAATATAGAGGAATTATCCTGTCTAAATCTAACACTTATAGAGTAAAACAGCATGATACTGGTATCAAGAGACAAAATGGATCAATGCGACAGAATAGAGTATAAATAGACCTAACATATAAGGTTGGCTGATTTTTAACAAGGGTACATAGGCAAGAGCATGGAGAATGGATCATTTAATCAAAAAAGGTGGCAGAATAATTAAATACCCATCGCTGCTCCACCTTTTAGCTAACTAACATTAAATGTAGAATAATTAGACATCCAAATGCATAAGAATAAACTAACAAGCATTGCTTCTTACTTTGCACTATATACTAATATTTACTCACTTGATATAGACCTTAACATAAAACTTAAACTGTAATTTTTGGAGTAAAACAGGAGAAATACTTTTTGAACTTCAGCCAGGCAAATATTTACTCAATACAATACTTACAGCAAGATTTTTAGAAAAGGAAATATAAATATTTCTCCAGAATTGTAAACTTGTATTCTTATAAATAATCTAAAAGAGACTTAATAGACAAATCAGACTTGGAGCAAATATCTACAAATAAAATATGATTGATAAATGATTTATATCTGGGATATACACAGAAGTGAGGTTAAATGAGGAGGAACCAGAACACCAGTGATGACTTAAGGAGTGTGGAGGGTAACGGACTCGGGAGCACAGGTGTCAGCTTCTCCACCACGTGAGAACATCCGACCTTTGATCTACAAGGGTGCGCGCAGGTGTTTACCAAAGAAAAACGATAGTCTATGGCCACTCAGACTTCTGCACCAGCTAGCTGTCCACTACAACTTGACTGCAGCCATAAAAAGCTGGAAGCACCTCAAGTGTCCATCACCAAGGGCCTACAGGATCTGTGACACATCCACACGACTACGATGCTCAGCAAGAAAATAACGCATACACACAGCGTTTCTGCACCTATCCTTCAGGCACAGCGAGAGTTCCCCTGCCCCTCACTGCACTGTCCATCTTCTCCACGTGCTGCTGCTTCTAGTGCCTAGTCAGTTGTTCTCTCAGCCTTTGTCAAAGGCTGCCAAGGATCACATCACCAAATCCAAATGCTCCATCTTCTCCTGGATGGAAGTGGATGGGATGGACCAATCCAGATCAAGATCCCACTTTCTGGATGTCTGACAAACTGTTCTTTCCATCATCCTACGTTGGTGGGAAACAAGGCCCTCTGATTCTTACCAGATGTTTATGCATTCACCTTCCTGCCTGCCCAGCATGTGGGAAAGATGACTGGTCTCAGGAATCTTTCCAGAGTATTTGCCCTGCTCTGAAGTGCCTGTACCTCTCATGGCTTACAGAATCCTTTGCTATCCATGATGCTGCACATGACACCCTACTCCATTTTTCAGCTTCCCACCAGCAAAAGCTCTCTTGTCAGGCATCCATCTGTGCCACCCCCTGCCCTCCTCATTCTCGCTATAGCTATTTTCTTTGTAGCTTTCCACAGTTGTTGCTTAGTTGGGCTTTTCTCCCCTCTCCTCCCCTTGGCTTGGGTTACACCAGAACAGGCAAGAGAACTTTCCATATACCTTCTTAAGTACATCATCCCATAAAGCTCTTTGAATTCTATTCTTACAGCTCTAAATAATCCCACTCACTGCTTTTGGACTTCAGAAAAACCTGGTAACAAGTATCTTGTGTTTCTCTGGTCCCCTCCCTGCCCAAAAAAACCAAAGTCCTTGGGGGACAGCCCTCGTACAGTCTGCCTAACTGCTTAGCACAATGACGATGCTTAGGGGCTCAGAGTTTACTTGTCTCTCACACAGCACTTGTTCTCTTCCTGTGAAATCTTTCCATGAAATCTGGATGTAACTTACATGAGCATTTACACTGCTCTTTCTGGCCACTGGCTGGTATGACCTTATAAATGTTGGAGTTTGTTACTAAGGGAACAGGAAGAAAGCTTGGTTTCAAGAATTAAGAAGGTTGGTGGCTGCCAGTGGACGTGTAACTCTTGTCATTGAGCCCATATAGCTCAAGTTTGTCAGCAATACCATTTCTTGGGCGGAAAGAGCACCCTGGAATTTTAGGTTATCTTCAAAATTGGCACAGAAGGGAATGCCTCATGCTAAAAGAAAATATGTTTTTAGAATGATTATCTTTTTTAGGATAGCAGTATTTGAGGCATGTTTTCCTAGAGATGGTGGGATAAGGACGAGCCAGCTGAGGCCTCTATCAGGACAGGGTTGTGGTTAGGGAGGTACGTTGAGGCAACTGCTTTAGGTGCACTTTGCTCAGTGCTATCACAGAAGTGGACTCTCCTATCTGGACCAGATAAGTCCAGCTGTTAACAACTGGGATAATGGAAGTAATGGCTTGATTTTTACTTTGACCATGATACATGATCCTGTAAATTCCCATAGGAAAGGGAATGATCAAATGCAGCTAACTTCCCATTCACTGTAATCTGGTATTA